AAACAATCTACCTTAAAAAAACAAAGCAAAATAAAACTTAGACATGGCCTAGACATCGTTCCCTGTGTGACGTCACTGTGCTCTTGGCCTGCTGCAGAGTGGTTACTGAGAGTTTTCACCATTTCTGGAATTCTGTTTATTTCTCATTTATCTTAAATCCTGTTTATGCTTCTCAGGAAAGAAAAGGAAGCATGTAATTGTGATTTTGAGTGACTGTCGTTTAAGGCAAGGTAAGTTCCATGGTCTCTCTGTCCACTTCTTCCATGGTGGGAACTGGAGAGAGTGGCAAAGCAAAGTATCGAGTAAATGAATGAGTGAATGGATGCATGGCACAGAGGTAGATGCTGATTTGGGAACTAGAAGTCCAGCTCTGTTCCTCTGTTCCTTTACCCTGTGTGATGCTAGTTTGGCTCTAAAGCACCAACTGCATTCCATGGCAGCTTCATGTGAAGGGATTAAGTAGTTTCTGGTGCTGTAAAGCTTTGTTATCTAAGTAGATAACAAAGGAACATGTTCTCATGTACCTGGAAGGCAATCATGAGATCATAAGCTCAGAATGAGGCTCAGGTTTAGATGTGGTCATCAGAAGGCATGAGACGGGGATGGTGGAGAAAGTATCACTCATTTTTGTTCTGAAGCTAGTTCAGGTAGTTTATAGAAAATGAGTGTTTTGTATAGCACAGATTTTTCTATCTTCATATTCAGGTTAAAAGCATAGCTAACAGTAACTATTGTTGTGGCTGGATTTTACCATGGCCCTTGTGTTGTGTCTCTAAGAGGAAAGCTGTGGAGAGGAAGGTTTGTCATTTAGGAAAGTACAGATTCCATTACTCCTGGCCAGTTGAATTTCAACAATTGTAGCAATCACATTTCTTTCTTCAACTTGATCCAGTTGGTTACATTTACCCACTTGCTTACCATGTCATACTGAGACACAATTGGGTTCCATACCAGCCAGTTAGAATTTTTTTAGATAGAAAAATCCGAGACCAAGTGGTCTGAACAAGTGTTCTACAGCAAGGAATAAGAACAACACAACAGACTTTACCATGTAATTGTTAAATCTTCCAAACCACCATAGACTAGATGACTGAACAATGATGGCTTTTTTTCCCCTTTGGCTGTTCTTAAAGTGTATACTAGATTCAACAATAAATTAAATTATATAGCTGTCAAGTTCATTTCTTGACTCTCAAATTCCTTAGTCTGACTGTGTTTTAAGATAAAGCCTTTACAGGAAGAATATCAAGGTGAGTCCTCTTCAGTGTGCGTGGTGGTTTTATAATGGGATGGAGTACAAGTGGAGATGGCATGCAACATGAAAAGACAAAGGCCATGTGGGAATATCTTGAGATGGTGGTCATCTCTAAGCCAACAAGAGAAGCCTCAAGAGAAACCAAACTTGCCAACACCTTGATCTTGAACTTCCAGCCAATAGAACTCTGAGAAAATAAATTTCTGTTGTTTAAGCCTTTCCCTGTGGTATCTTATTGTGGCAGCCTTGGCATATTATCATAACCATATAAACCACTACAAATTGAAAAAAAAAAGTCTTATCTAAAATATAAGTAGCCAATAACTATATGTACATACTTTCAGAATATGAATATCATTAGTCATTAGAGACCTGCAGTTAAACTACATCCATTAGATGGCTATAATAAAAAATACAGTAATAAATTTCAACAAGGTTGTTGAAAATGGCATAGTCATGTGGAAAACAGTTCAACATTACCTCCAAATAATGAACTTAGAATGTCCCAGAAATTTCTTTTATTTTTATTTTTTATTTATATTAATCACAGGTTATTTACTTTGTATCCCAGCTGTAGCCCCTCTCTCATTCCCTCCCAATCCTACCCTCCCTCCTTTGTCTCCTCCCTGCCCCTTCCCAAGTCTACTGATAGGGGAGGTCCTCCTCCCCTTCCATCTGACTCTAGCTTATCAGGTCTCTTCAGGACTGGCTGCAATGTCCTCCTCTGTGGCCTAGTGAGGCTGCTCCTCCCTCGGGGTTGGGGGGGGGCGAGGTAAAGGAGCCAGTCATTGAGTTCATGTCAGAAATAGTTCCTGTTCCCCTTACTGGGGAATCCACTTGGTTACTGAGCTACCATGGGCAACATCTGAGCAGGGATTCTAGGTTATATCCATGAATGGTCCTTGGTTGGAGAAACCATCTCAGAGAGGGCCCCCGTGTCCTTGTGGAGGGTGTCCTTGTGGAGGGTGTTCTTGTGGAGCTCCTGTCCTCTCTAGGTCATACTAAGTCCCCCTTCTTTCATATGATTCTCTGCACTCTGCCCAAGGTTTGGTTATGAGTCTCCGCATCTGCTTTGATACACTGCTAGGTAGAGTTTTTCAGAGGCCCTCTGTGGTAGGTTTCTGTCCTGTTACTTGTTTTCTCCTACATCCAATGTACATCCCATTTGTCTTTCTAAGTGAGGATTGATCATCTTACTCTGGGTCCTCTTTCTTGTTTATTTTCTTTAGGTACACATACTTTAGTATGTTTATCCTATCTTTAGGTCTACATAAGTGAGTATATACCTTGTGTGTCTTTCTGCTCCTGGGATAACTCACTCAGGATGATCTTTTCTAGATCCCACCATTTGCCTGCAAATTTCATGATTTCCTTGTTTTTAATTGCTGAGTAGTATTCTATTGCGTAAAAGTACCACAATTTCTGTATCCATTCCTCCATTGATGGACATCTGGGTTGTTTCCAGTTTCTGTCCCAGCAATTTCCTTCTCAATTATTAGCACAAAAGGATTGAAAACACACACAAAAAGTCCTTAGCAGCATTATTTACAATAGCCAAAATGAGAGAGCAACCAATGCGTCATTGATCAGTTAGTGTGTGGGTTTTAAAAAGTAGTATATCCCTTTCAGGGGATATTATTCAGACATAAAACAGGATAAAATACTGAATAATGTTGTCATATTAACAAACTATGAAAATGTTTTTTCATCATAAGGATGACCAACAAAAATAGCAGTTATTAATTATTTATTGTATAAAATGTTCACAGTAGAGATATCAATAGGCATATACTGGTTGTCAGGGGCTAGGGCTGAGAACAATGGATATTGATTGTAAGTGGCATGTGATTTCTTGGGCTGATGAAAATGTTTGGGAATTGGATATCATTGATAAATGCATTTTTTAGTTGAGCATACTAAAACATTTTAAAGGATGTATACTTTAAGGAATAAATGTCATAGTATGCGAATATTTCAGTAAATAAGATTAAGCCAAGTCATTTTTCTGGATTGTGAACCTGGAGTAAACATGAATGAGATGTATCTTGCTGATTAGCAATGCTCATACATGAGTGAGGTTTTTGCTTACCCCGTGGACATAGGTGAAGTTATCTACACATTCATTTACATGTAAATCTAGGGATGGATGATCTCTATGGATCATGTTCATGGAGGCAAAACAAAATCCTCATTTACAACACATTTTCTGAAATGATTGTTTCTTAGGTATTAGTTCAGATAGTAACAGAACATTTTCGAAGTTTAAGTTTCATGATCTTTTCTTGAGCCACTCGTACCTCAAGAATCCCTGAACCCTTAGGCTTGCAAAGATGATGTCTTGATTTTCTGCTGCTATCTCAAATATCTTTAAACATTTACAAATAGCAAACCCTGACCTCAGGCATGGAGATTATCGCTAAAGTACATCCTAAAACTGGCAGCATCAGTGTCACCTAGGAAAGCTTTAGAAATGTAGATACCCACACCCACTGAATCTGAGACTTGCCAGGGTGTGCCAGTGCAGTTCTGTAATTTCAGCACGCCACAGGAATCACTGGCCAGCCTGAACCATAGAGCAAGACTCTGGAGAGAGGAGAGAGGGATGGGGAGAGGGAGGGAGAGAAAAAAAATGTAGGTTCTGTAGATGACTTGTTCAGGCTAGCGTCTTAGAACCACTGGTTCAGAGAAAGCAAATAGGAAGTGTTGATGTCTATAGTTTTTGATAATTGTTTGGATAACGAACATGTAGCTGTTAAGCATAACATTGGTTCTTCCACCTGGGACATAAACTGGTGACACCGAATACTCATCTCTCACTTTGATTATGGTTTCTCATTACCAGTTTCCACTAAGTAGATTCAAGGCTTAATACTATGCTTGACACTTTAATAATAACATTATTCGTTAAAAATTAGTTAAAAATTTCAACTTATCCCATTAGGGAATATTAATCTTTTATCTCTTTAGCATAGCTTAAGGTGGACCCTACTTCCTGAGGGTATGGCCTGTTGGCCAGGTGACTGGGCAACAGGATGAACTCAGGAGACATGGGATGTCTCCACTCTCCACCTAGAGATAGCACGCTTTTCCTGAATTCCCTCCGTCTATGCAGTCGCTTCATGGCTGCCATGAACTTCTTTGGGTCTGCTCATCTCTTGCAGGTCTCTCTCAGAAAGGCATGACTTTTCCTTTTTATGCTTTTTAAGTATAATTTATTACAATTTATTCAATTTGTATCCTGGCTGTGGAAAATGTGTAGCCCAGGCTGGCCTCAAACTGGTGATCCTCCTGTCTCTTCCTCCTTCAGTGAATCCTACCGGCGCGTACCACCACAACCAACTCCTTTTTATTCTTTTCTGTCTCTTTCAGATGTTGTCTCTTTCAAAGCCTGGGTATGCTTTTTTGGTACTTTGGGCTTTCTTTCTCTCTAAAGCTCCTCTTCCTACCCTGTGGCTGCTTGCTTGCCATGTGGCTGACCTCCATGCCCACTTAACTCGATGGCACGGCCCTTTCTCTTCTCTGTCCTTTTCCTCTGGGCAGCTGGTGAGATTTACAACTGCTGCCTTGGAGTTTTTCTTGAAAATCTAATAAAAGTATCTTCAATCTTCAAACAACTAACAAACAAAAGACGAGAAAGAACCCCCTTCAGTTTAAAATGATATAGGTGTCCAAAAACAAAACAGTGAGAAAAAAAAAAAATCCAAACCCATTGATGTTTTCTAAAATTGAGGTTATGGAACTCAGATTAAATGCAATTATTTATTGTAATCTCCAGAATAATTTCAGTCACTTCAGCTACTCTTTAAAATCATATCAGTATCAGGCTCAGAATTTAATCACAACCAAGCAATTCACAAGGACACTTTAAGCAACAAAACATGCTTAATATTTCTCCAGGGATGCTCCTCCAAACACAGGTACACTATTACTGGGAGTTACACGAAGCTGTCATTATCTCTTGACACAGACAACAAAGTGGAAACCATACCAGAGAGCTATCTGCATCTCTTTCTGTAAAGACATCTTCCTCTTGAAGTTTTAAAGGATGTTGGCAGACATTCTGTCAGCAAGTAAAACTACAAACACTTTAGGACAGAACAAGCTACTTAGACTTTTTATACTATACATTTCACTTATGGGTAGCTAGAGACTTTAAAAAAGTATATTACATCTTTAAAAATACTAATTAGTGGGGACAGAGGTTGAAAATATTTACCAGCAATGTTAGGTACTCCTGAAGTCACAGTTTTCTGGATAAATAAATGTAATACTATGTTTCTAATTTTTTCATTATATATAGCTTGGAAAATATATTTTAAACTTTAATTTTCACATCTTAAATATTTTTCTTTTTTCCTTTGATAATACTAAACTTTTGAAAAATTTATATCTATTTTATAGATATTTCACCCTTGTTTTCAATATTTTGGCCTGAACTTAGTTATGGAAAAAAAAAATAACACAGACAATATTAGCTGGTTATACTGGCAGGAGAGGGTGTATCATAATTTTTTTTTATACCTTGTATTAACAATAAACCTTCTCACAGAGAAGAACATAAATACCTTAAATTATATTTCCAACAATAAAAATTCACATTTCATGCTTTAGTGAGACACTTAAATCAGCTATAAGGTAGTCCTCAGAATTTGGGGTAGAGCCCTTCCAGTATCTGGACCTGCGGTACGTCCAAATAGAAAGCTCTTGATGCTACGAAAATAGCATAGTTTGTGCCATCTTTCTATCCAGTAGAAAAAGCTGTCAAGTTGCAACTGCAATCCTGAGTCACATCACAGTGACGGCCAATGTGCTTGAGGCCTGGGCACTCAGGGGTCTCATCTGGAGCACTGAAGAGTACTCAACAAACTCGAATGTTCTCTAATAGCTGCAGCGAAGACGGCCCTTCTGAGTACAGCTAAACACGTGTATGTCTATTGCACAGGATTTTAGAAGTTTCCAAAGCAGTGCTTTCTCCCCGCTTTAGCTACTATATACATTTTTCAGATAAGTTCAGCGTTTCACTGGGGAATGTGACTTGCAGCGAGTTTCCTTTAGAGGCAGGGTCCTCCCTGCTGCTCCCACCAACCTCATCCACCAACAAGACACTCTCCGAGTCCTGACCCTGGGAGGAATCTGAGGTCTCTGATATTCGCAAAGTTCTCAGAGATGTGGTGTCTGCTTGAGGCAGGCCCATGCCATGTGCACCTGGAAGCAAATTCCTGCCTCCCAGGCTGCTCTCAGTTAGATCTGGCAGGTACAGGAGGGTCTGAGACGTGCTGCTGATCTCCTTCAGTTCCCGGGAGAGGAAGGAGCGAGAGTGGCTGGACATGGCAGAAGATGTCCTCCGATTCTCCGAGCAATGCTGTGCTGACCCATCTCTGCCGGAACCCCCAATGCGGCAGAAGAGGCACTTGATCTTCTCTATGGCTTTGCTGAGCACAGTCTTCCGAAGAAGGATGTAGATCCAGGGGTCCAGGATGGGGTTCACAGAAGCAATTCTGATGGCCTGCAAATCTGGGTTTCTGCTGATGTCTTTCACCACACTTGGCTGATATAACTGGTTGATGAACACTCGCACCTGCATAACCGAGAGGCCCACATAGAGATTTTATAATTAAGCAATTTGGCAAAACACTTAAGTGCTGCATTTACGTTTCCAATGTGACGTGATATAGCCGCTCTTATGTGGTAATGCCTACTTTTCAGCGGCAGTTTATGCAACAAGCCAGCTTCTAATTTTAAGAGACTCATTTTGTAAGCCAATTAACCACGTGATCATTACAGAAAGCTGAGGAGCCTATGTCTTCACACTCAAGAGAAACTACTTTGTACTTTTGAACCATCATCAGTATCTCCTGTGAGCCAGAATCACCAGAGAATTGTTTTCCTCTGTGCCTCTCCACACTCTCCGTAGCAATTATCTGGTGTTTCTGTTTCTTGAACCCAAACTTTCCTCTAATCCTTTTCCTCAATAGCATTTCTCATCAGGAATATTACAGCAGCCACCAAATAACATTTCCATCTGCAGTCTCTCTCCAATTCCTCCTCCAAGCTGCCCAGAAGACTATTACTGAAGTAAATGTCCTCTTGTGCAGTTCAGCTGCTAAAACTGTCCACCGCTCCTTTCAAGATACAGTTTTATGCATCTTCAAGATAAAGTTCAATTGAATCAGTGACTGATTCACAACTCCAATGAGAAGCAACTCCTCTGTGTTTCTAAAGCCTTTTAGCCAGTAGCTAAGTTCTCAGAGACCAGTGCATGAATAGGGTAGCTGACTGTGGTGCGGGTTGAACTATGAAGGCAAGAGCCGAGTCTGCCAGCCCACCATGTACCAGGCATGGCATAAATGGAATACACACAAGAATACCCTAGCAACTTTGCTATTTTGGAGCCTTAATTTGGGGAGTTAAAAAACTGTCCTTCTTATAATCATTCATCGACTCAACCATATTCTTTTATACATCTCATCATTTAATAATGAGCACTTTCTATGTTTGAGGTATTCTTACAGTTTCCGGGAACAAACAGTTTTATGAGATGCCCTATGCCCCTCAGAGGCAGAGAGCAATGTATGTAGTACAGAGGACAGGGTAGGAAGGCCAACCATCAGCACAAAGACATCAACAGAACCAAGAAAGGGACCACTGCAGGTGAGGAGCCGTGGGGAGAGCCCTTCTGGAGGAGCAGAAGTGCTGGGTTTTGCCAGCTTCCCGAGGAAGGAAATAAGGTTCGCCATAGAGGAAGCTCCCTATGTAAAGCAAAGCACCGAAGAGTGAAACGGTATGGCAGCTTCTAGGAAAGTCACATGATTCCCTGAACTGAACAAGAACTAATGTAAGCTTAGGGAATACTGTTCTTCCCTAGAGGACACAGCACTTGTATAATACTCTCAAACTTATTCCTAATGTACTGTGATTCTTATGTACCTAGATTCAGCTTTTAATTACGCTTGGATAATTCATGTAAAACTTATTTGTAAGCAGATGCTAAGACTTATGGCCAACCTTTGGGCAGAGCGCAGGGAATTTCATGAAAGAAGTAGGAAATAATAAGACCTGGAGAGGACAGGAGCTCCACAAGGAGAGCAACAGAACCAAAAAATCTGGGCCAAGGGGTCTTTTCTGAGACTGATACTTCAACCAAAGTCCATTCATGGAGATAACCTAGAACCCCTGCACAGATGTAGCCCGTGGCAGCTCAGTGTCCAAGTGGGCTCCATAGTAATAGGAACAGGGACTGCCTCTGACATAAACTGATTGGCCTGCTCTTTGATTACCTCTCCCTGGGGGGGTAGCAACTTCACCAGGCCACAGAGGAAGACAATGCAGCCACTCCTGATGAGATCTGATAGACTAGGATCAGAAGGAAGGAGAGGAAGACCTCCTGTATCAGTGGACTTGGGGTGGAGCATGTGTGGAGAAGGGGGAGGGAGGGAGCCATGTGAATAAAGTGTAATTAATAAAAATTAAAATAAAAAATGGAAAGAAAAAAAACGTATTTGTAACTTGCGTAAAACGAAGCTCTGAGATCATAGTCATTGCTGGTCTGTGGGGATTGTCTAGGATAAGGGAGAAATAAGAAGTGAATCTCATAGTCACACAAGAAGAATAAAAACTTTAAAACGAGAAAGAACAAGTCACAACTCACATTCAGAGACTGAGTCAATCAGAAACAAACACTTGTAGCAAGATTTGGTGACTCCACTGTCTTGGTGTATGCTGTAATAGTTAATGGTTCAGGCTATATGGCCTACCAGGAAAGGGCATGACGATGTTAGAAAAATAGCAATTTGGGGACAAGTTTAAAAAATTTAAAGATATAGTTTCACTAATTTATAAAATTCAACTTTCAAGCAACCTACCCCTTGATGATATGATCTGATAACTCTATTTCTGTTTCTTCATTAACCCCAATTAGAGAAATGTCCATTGGTCCTTGATCAAAACATTTTCATTGTTTTTTTAACTTTTGTTTTTGTTTTTAATATTTATTTATTATGTATACATCATTTTTGCTGGCCTGTAGGCCAGAAGAGGGTGCCAAATCTCATTATAGATGGTTACGGGCCATCATGTGGTTGCTGGAAATTGAACTCAGGACCTCTGGTAGAGCAACCAGTGCTCTTAACCTCTCTGAGCCATTTCTGCAGCCCCCATTTTCATCGTTTTTAATTGTCATTGTCATCTTCTTTATATGTTTTGGAAATATATTTGTCTGTAAAATCTGACCTAACCTAAACTTCTATCTGTTATGATATGTTAACAACTACTCTTCTAAAAGTCAAGAAACTGTGAATTCTAAAGATTTTGGATAAAGGATCATGGACTGTAAGTCTCATAGTATAAAAGAGTCAAATGGACTTCAGATGAAATTTGTATCTTGCCCTCCTTCAGGCAGTTAAGTAAAAATGAGGTACACTAAACAGCAGGATATGATGTCTTAAAATGATTTTAGAGTTTCTGCTGGAATGGAGAGCATACTCAGTTGAACAAAATCTTTACAAATACTAGCAAAAAGCCAGACTTGTGATGTTGCTCATTAGTACAGCACCGTCAACCGTCAAGCACACAAGGCCCGTGGTTTGATCTTCATGCCTCAGAAAGAAGCACATGGACAAGTATTTGGTTTCTTTCTTCCAGATACTTCTCGGTAGCTTACTGAGTTCCTCCTCTTTTCTCAGGTGATGTGTTTGTTAACTGGACCTGGAATGAACGCTCTGTCTCTCTCTGTCTCTCCTTTGTCTCTTCTCTCTCTCTCTCTCTCTCTCTCTCTCTCTCTCTGTGTGTGTGTGTGTGTGTGTGTGTGTGTGTGTGAGTGAGACAGGGTCTCATTCTTTACCAGGCTGGCTTCAATCCCTTGGCCATCTTCTCCCCTCAGTTTCTCAAGTGCTGGGATAGACAGGTAAACTAGAGACCTGAAAGTGTTGACGAACTTTTAAAGCTCTTTCCTATCCTATTGATAATAAGGTCTGGTCTAGGCTTTAGTTTTCAGATGGATTTCATGTTGCTTTTCTTGTTCTATCAGACTGGATTTATGTTTAAAATTTATTCTTAGTAATGGGTCATCTCTAGAAAACATTGTGGTCTGTGTTTTACTCACACTCCATGTTATGTTTCTAAAGATGAAAAAGCGAGGGCTAATAGCAAGCTCTGTCTGTGGCAGGGTTTGTGTGAATATGACACTCCAAGCCTCTAGAGGGCAGTGTTGCTCTACTCCAGAGCAGCTAGTGCCTCACTGCTCTTGGGATGCTTTTTGCACAGGTACTTTCCAGGAAGCTTTCAGAAAAGAGTCTTGGTTAAGTTTGAATTATATATATTAACATGTTTTTTTTTTTTCTGGCTACTTCTCCACCAAAACCTCAAAGGAAACACCTTTACCTTTGAAACGAGGAAAGTTATTTAACAGTTAAAACAAAAAGCTGTAGTTACTTAAAGGAACTCATGGGGAAACTCACATTTTGTTTTCAAATTTCTGTGATATGTTAAAACGTCAATGTTGTAAAAAATTAATATGTTTTATAATCAGAGCTGACAAGGGGCAAGGAAGCAATCACCTTTGAATTTTATTTTATCTGCAGCCACATTTAAAGTTGACTAATAAAGAAGGGAATGAAAATTATTTTTTAAAGTTCAAGTTCCCAGGGGTCTTGGGCAGGCTTACAACTAGCACAAGCCCCCTGGATCTGGTTATTTAGTGTCTTCCAGAAAACGAAGTTCACAATGTATCAGGTGGGTGAGTACAAAACACAACATTCTGGACTCAGTGGAAGATATAGCATTTGCCTAGCATTTATAAAGCCTCAGGTTTAACTCCCAAAACTTTAGAATAAATTCAACAAATACTTTCAAATTATTATAAAAATTCTCAAAAGTCGATCAAATTCTTTTCAGGGAATCAAATGAATCAAGTTGACTTTGCCTCTGATTCTCAGTGCAGTCTCAAGAAGAGGAAGGAAAAAAGAGACAAAACCAGAAACTTTGGGCATTTTATAGCATTTGAATAACTACTCTCTGGCTTCATTTTAAAGGCCAGTTCTACAGAGAGAGTCCCAGGACAGCCAAAGCTACAGAGAAACCCTGTCTTGAAAAAGCAACTAACCAAAAACCAAACTAACAACAACAACAACAAAAAGAACAAAGCAAAACAACAAAACCAACCCCAAAAGGGCACTTGATTCTTGCTCTCCTGTCCCTGAAGAGCAGCGACAGGTTCCATAGCACCGCCCTCAGCAGTGCCGTGTAGGGAGGTGAGCTCACGTCTCTGCACCCTTCTCCAGCAAACCGTAGACGTCATGTAAAAAAAAAGTCCAGGCAGTCTGCAGTTATGGAAGCATGTGTTGCTGGATAAAGCAGAGCCCCTGAGTCAGAGAGGAAAACAATTCTAAACACCGAACAGGCTACAAACAAGGCTTCTCTTTCTTCCACTTCAGACAATAAGCAAATACAGACTTTGTGAATGTGACTTGACCCCGATATCGGCAGGGATTCTGAGATTTTAAACTTCAGACTGGGTAGACAGGAGGTTTAGGAGCACTGGGATAGAACTCGGAGAGGCTCCAATAGAGACAAGCAGATATGATTGCAAGAATGTTGACGGGAGGATATACGGTGGTGTGATAAGTGCCCAAGACTTGCTACTGTATGAGCGTCCCCATATTTGTCGGTGGTGTTTACCATTCAGACACCAGGTTTTTATTGGCGTTTTCATTTTGTTTTGAGATAGGGCCTCTCTATGTAGCCCTGACTGGCCTGAAGGTTGCTATGTAGATAAGGCTGTCCTGAACTGCAGAGCTCTGCCTGCCCCTGTCTCCCTAGTGCTGGGATTATAGGCATGTGCCACCACTCTGGGCTGTGCATTGGTTCTTAAAGTGCTCAGTACAGTGCCTTTGACTTAACATCTGTTTTGTCACTTATTCCTTTCCTTGTAAGCCATATGTAGAAACATAGCCACCACAGACCACTGACAACTGTAGGTAAAACATGGCTTTGGGGTAAAGCTGATGGCTGGCATTAAAAGCATGTACTTCCTACGTAAGAATAACCTGTTTGAAGTGAATGTTGAATTGAAATGCTGAACTTTTGACTAGACTAATGTAATAATAGATTGTTCAAATTTAAGTGCTGCCCAGTAAATGGCAGGATCTATAACTGGATTTGAGCATGGAGCTACTTGTTCTGTTCCAGGCACATGAAAGGAATTATCTCTGTGTGCTCTGTTATCTCATTATCTTGTGAAGAGCCCAGAATTGACACAGCTGTTACTAGAAGTTCTTAGCTCCTCCCCCTTTTAAAATAAATGGTCATGGAAAATGTTCTCAACAGAGTAGAAGAGTCTATATTTCTTGTTTCTTCTCGGTCCCTAACTGGCCACTCATTTCAAATTACTTATTCTCTGCTGGCTAATATCTACATTGTAAATCTGTTTTAAGAGTTTTTTTTTTCTTCCACTTTCTAATTCACAGCCTTAAAACTTCAGCTCTAAGGGAGAAAATATCTTGTTATAGATGTTCAATAAAACCAAAGTTTAAGAAGTCAGTAAAGATAAGGGGAAGAACTGAAGAAAGATTCATTCCCAGACACCGAGTTTAGAGATAGTTCTTCATCTGTAGCTGGGCAAACTGAGGTGCTGAGGGGGTGAAAAATACTCCTTTGAGCCAGTTCCAACAAGCTGCAGGGTTTGGTAAACCTTGTTTTAATGTACTGTTCTGCAATGACCCCAGTACTTTCAAAAGGCATTTCACATTATGACTCAAACATTGCTTTGAGGAATTGTAATCCTTTAAAAAATGAAGTTGCATGCTTTGGAAAAATGATCAAGCTCATTGATTGTGCTAATAGTTGCATCTGAATTAATCACGTTACTGTTACCTATGCCTGTGCTTTGGTTCACACAGTCACCAAATGGGCCCACTTCCAATTTGCCTTCTACAAGAAAATTCTTGTTTACAGTTTTCATCTGCTTTTATAAGGTGTGGGTGATGCAACTTGTTTCCAAAAAAACAGCCAAAGAAACACAGGAAACCATTTCCCCAAGGACATAATATTTATCTGACCATGGGAGAAGATTAATTAATTTGCCATACTACTGGAACCTCAGTGGAAGAGGAAAGAAAAGAAAACAATCAATATGCCCTGACTTGCTTGTGTGTGGAGGAAAATGCCTTTCCAAATCTGACTGTCTAGCTCTTTAGCCCTGAGGCAAAATATCTGATTATAACTGTTATCTCAACATTAGTATTAGACCTACAAAACTAAGTACCAGAAATTGATCTAGCCTTTGGAGTTTGTGTTGATTTCACGTTTCTAGAGGGTGCAAGATATTTATGTTAAGCATGTACTTTCATTTCCTCAGTTTCTTCTGTACTGGGAAAAAAAAACCCAACAACCCTGAGACCAGTTATAAATAGCAGAAAGGACAAAATGACAAGAACCACGTTCCTTCAATATGCTGCTTGTGCTATAGAGCACGCTTCCACTTTCTCTGTTCATTAGTTATGAACCACTTGGAGAATTTTGCAGATTTGGCACATTCATTATAGTCACAATGAAATTCTCAGTTTTTCTCAACGCTAGTTTTCAAACTCAACTCCATTTTGCACACATAACAAATTAAAATCTGCTTTCCATACTAAACTTATTATCAATGAATATGTAAAGTTATCTAGCCTCCTCTTCCCACAGGTCCAAAAGACAGATTCTTGCCTGCTTTGCTGTTCTCCCTCTACATTGTATGTAGCTTCCTGAATGTCTAAGGCAGCTGTATTTGCTCTGCTAGGTAGCCTTCTGAAAGCACTAAAAATGACCCAGGGGGTTTCATTTCCCTCCAATGGAATTAGCACTCAATTTTATTCAATAATGTTAAAACAGATGCTTCATCAGTTCCCACTGAACTGAAGTACACCCAGCTGCTTTACCTGTCAGAGAGCTTGCAGGCCTTTACTCTCATTCCCTGAATCTGTGAGAAACATGGGGGGCGGGCTGTAAAATAACCCATGAGAGATGTAACTGTGAAAGTTTCTTTTGGTTCTTTCAGTAGTTACTGAGTTGCAGGTGAGTACATGGGTTCAATAGCTCCCCCATTACTTGTCACAAGTTTTTATTTAGGATGGCTCTGGAAAAGTAGATTTTTGAAGCCAAAACTGAACGCTAAAACATGAAGCTACTCTTATTTATTTGATTACTTGTTTCTCATGGAAGCATGCAGGCTCTTGACTAACATGACCACCCCTTAGCTGGGTCAGTTTCAGCTTCAGATAGAGATTATTACTTAACATCAATTACTAGGTACTGGCTTTCTCTAGAGCGGACAGCATTTTATATTAGCTAGAATGTGATAAATAGGCCAGCGGTAATGACAGCTCGGGGGCCTCACATGCTTTCAGGCTTTGTCACGAACGGCTGTGAAGTGGAAGGCCGGGTCAGCCCATACGATTCGTTTCATATGCCTCTCCAGACAACATGGAAGAACACTTTATTGGCAGTTTCGTGACATAAGTGGCAGCACATGCTCACTTCTTTCCAAAACATTTCGAAAGTACGTGCATAGCTACTAGCGACCCAGCTCCAGTTCCTCAGTTTTCTGTGGCGGACGCCCTGTGAATAGTGACCACTCACGTTGTCATTTACTGTCTTGTAAAATACAAGGCTCAGCCTGGAGGCCCCAGCAGAAACAGGCTTCTTCCCTTCCAAATCTCACTTTATTTTGAGTTGGCATTACAGACAGTAAAATACATTTATGTGGCTCTAGAGTGCTTTAACTCTGTACAGGACATTAGGCTCTGGGATGGCTTAAGGCCCTTCTGGCCAGTCATTTACTTCTGTTTATATAAATTGGCAAGAAGCTACTGTATTCTGGCTCTCAGCCACTGCTAAGTTTTCTTCCATTTACAGTCACTTTTTTAAGAAATAAAAACATTTCTATATCAAATATCCCTGGTAATATTAATAAAAGAAAAGCATCAGAGCCAATTATGCTCATTTCAGCTTGTTCCCAATGAACATAGATAGTCATTACTTTATGAAGAGATGTTTTAGAATTTCCAGGAATGCAGTGTTTTCAGAGATAGAGCTCGGAACAGGGTAAATTCTAGATGAAGAATTACCTCTGCTACCAATCTGTTTCCAGTGCATTCTATCAGTAATACGCAAAAGCAGAGAACTTAAGAGGTATTTGCTCCCCTCTGCTTACAATATTCTAGACATTATTAAAGGCGATTTAAAAGAGTGTGTTCTTCAAAGATAAGGTGTGCCCAGACACCAACAGACACTTCACAAAGGCCCAAATTACAAGTGTTCCTGCAAGAGACAGAAATGCCACAGTGGTGGGGACTGGTGTCTGGTGGTCTAAGGAGAAACTGTCCCGATCCTTGTCATTGAGAATTAAAATGCAATGCACATCAACATGTCCACACCTCCCAACTCCATCGTGCTATCTTGGCTTGCAAAAAAGGACAAGGAACTTGAATTTGGACCATACCCCGTTCAAGAGTCATCTCAAGCATGATGTGGTTTTGTGTGTGTGTAGGCGGTGGAGGGTCTAAGGAAAGGGGGCAGGGAGCAGAGTGAATGTGTCCACAAGATTATCCTGAGCAAGTCACTCTTACTCTCTGTGAAGTCAGTCTTTAGGCTTTTAAACTAACAAAGCGCCTCATCTACCCTAGCTTTAAAATGATACATAATGTAGGAAAAAAAAAAAAAAAAAAAGGCCCGGGGAAATCAAGACACTGGAACCTGCACTCTTCCAAGGAGGGAATTCAACAGAGTGTATCACCCCTGGTTTGCAGGCTCCAGAGTAGAGTGCTAGAGTAGGCACCCCTATAGTGAGTAGTATGCCCCCACCCCCCGCCCTCTCCCCACTCTCCAATCTGACTGAGCTGGCAGTGGGGGTTCTGAGAAGACACAAAACAAAACACCGGCCAGTGAGGGGAGCCTGAGGGGCTGTCCAGGGGACTTCAGAACCCATGCTTTCGGGGAAAGCACGTCGGGGGACCTAGGGGAAATCACCTGCTGAGTCTCCTTAGAGCCAGGACTCAGAGAATCCGAGCCCGTTTATAGAAGCTTTGAGCAGGTCCCCGCCCAGACCTGGAGGAAACAGGGGTCAGGGAGAAGCGGGGGGGGGGGGGGGGGGGGGGGGGGAGCGATGGGGTGGAGAGGTGGAGAGGCGGATCCCGGAGAGGGGCCGAGCGGGCTCCCGTCCCGGACACTCACCACGAGCGGAATGGAGCAGATGAGCACCACCAGGGAAGTGGCGATGAGTAAGATGACCATCTGGATCTCGGCGCCCGCGATGCGCCGGAAGCTCCTGCGGCGGCGAAATTCGCCGAGGCGCTGCAGGGCCGGGGAGGCGGCCGCGTGGCCCCGACAGGCAGCCGAGGCCACGGCTGCGGCGGCGGCCGCGTGGTGCTGCTCGGTGCCCAGCGAGGTGCGGCGCATGAACTGGCGGTGCATGCGGAGCAGCGCGCCGCACACCAGCACGTTGCAGAGCACGGTGGCGAGGATGAGGAAGGAGCTGAAGCCGGCGTACATGTAGGAGAAGGCGGCGTAGGCCGTGACGTTGGTGGTCCAGTCGATGAAGCACCAGGTGCCGGGGTACTGGCGCTCGGACCTGCCCAGGCCCATGTTGGGCAGGGCGCAGAACAGCACGTTAGAGGCATAGACCGCGAAGAGCGTGAGGCCGGCCAGCCGCTTGTCCACATAGTGGCTGTAGAAGTAGGCGTGGTTGATGGCCAGGTAGCGTTCAATGCTCATGGCACAGATGATGCTGAGCCCCGACAGGCCGAAGAAAAGTAGGATGAAGGTGCTGTAGTCGCACAGGGCCTGGTCCCCGGGCCACTGGCCCTTCATGTACGTGGCGATGGTCACTGGGCTTACCAGCAATGTGCCCAGCAGGTCGGTGACCGCCAGCCCACACACCAGAGTGTAGAAGGTTGTCTCCTTCTGCTCCTTGCGCGATTTGCACAGCACCACGATGGCCACCAGGTTGCCCACCACCCCGAAGATGAACATCACTGCGGGAATGGTCACCGGGCTATTCAGTCTCTCCGGAGGGGAGGAGGAGGCGTTGACCCCGGCCATGGACATGATGGTGGTCAGTAGTATACAGCTTTGGAGGTCACGGTTTGATCTGGGGGTGGAATCTAGACGAAGGAAAAGGGGAGGTGAGCCGTTTACTACTTGCAAGATGTTCGACCCGGGGTCAAAAATGCTATGCCGGTAAGACAGGAGAGCAGGCAGATCCTACTTCCTCATCCGTAGCCACTCACTGGCTGTGGCTAGTTGCCTCCTGCCAACAGCAGCACTCTGTTGACATTAATATTTATAAGCTGATAACTGCCTTTCCCGCCTCCCCCTCCCCCAGTCTCAGCTCCTTCCCCCGCCAGGATGAGCAAGACCCTTCTCAAGGGAAAAGTGATATTATATCATTCCCTAGTGATATTCCCGAAAGAGTCGATAAAATTCTCATCGAAACAGGTTAATGGACAATTTGGGAGGCACATTTTGTCCTTCGGTTCCCCGAAAGAGAGCCCGACCACAGCGCTGTCCACCGAAAGACCTCCGTCCCGACTCACCTGTAGGGTGGGGTCAGGAGCCCCCAAAGCTCAGGCCTCCGACAGACGTCCAGAGGCCTGACCTCCAACCTCGGCCATCCGTCGCTTCCCGCTCAGTGAGGACCTTGTCCAACCTCCGCGGCCCTCGGAACCGGGGTCTCGGTGGCTGCCCGCTTCCCGGAACCGAAGTCCGAGTATCTAAGCTTTCCAAAAGCCTGGAGAGCAAGAGAGGCTGGCGGGGTGGGTCTTGATTTACTCCCTCCTTCTTGCAGGGACGCGCCTCCGCGCTGCCGAGGGGAGGTCGGCGTCCGGGTGAGCCGCGCGCGCAGGTGGAGCAGGCGCGGGTCCCCGCGGCGGAACGCACAGCTACCGGAGGGGGCGGCTGTGGCTGCGGCCGCTTCTCGCGCTCTGGGGGCGGCCCGGGGTCCGCTGGGCCTGGGGCTCCGACCTGGGGCTGCTCATCTTCCTCTCCCGCGGCCGGGTGTCGAGCTTCGCGCTGGCCTTTCAGCCTCTGGACAAACTTTTCTCCTCCCGCAAGTTTCTCCGGAGGGGCGGAGACAGTCAGCGCGCGGCCCGGGAGCCCATTGGCTGAGCTGAAAAGGGGGCGGAGCGCGGCTGCCTTTGGCCCCGCCCAGGAGCTCAGGGATGGGGGCGGGGCTGGAGGCCGGGGAGGTCAGGAGGGACCCGCGGGGGTGCCACCCCGGGTGCGGTTACCGCTTCAGTGCCTTCCCTCCCTCGTGGGCGCGCTCGGGCCGAGCCCCCGGGAAACCCCGGCACACGGTTTGCCACTCCGGAGCTGGGCACCTAGTGGGGATGATGCCGGGACCAACCTCTGGTGCAATCCGTCGCTCCGGATTACAGTGCAATCCGACCAATCCGTCGCTCTGCGGATTACAGTGGACTAACCCTTGAACCCGCGGACCGAGCGTGCGGGGTCTTGGGATGTCGGGGCAATTGCTTTAGGACTCGGGAGCGGCAGAGCGGAGAGAAGTGGGTGTGTGGTTGTTCGTGGGTGTGTACGCCGGAGAGCTTCGGGTGGGACTTGGCGGACGCGTGGGTGGACCGGCGGGTAGGTACCAGTCCTGGGCGGGGAGGCGACGAAGAATCCATCCTCTCACCATAAAAGGAGTTAGTTGGCAGTGCCCTAGCTGTGCTCAATGGGGCACCAAAACGGGGGCGGGGAGCGACGCGGAACTGCAGCTTTTCCTGGCTTAGGTGGCGGAGCCTTCAGGCTTTGGAGATAGTGGCCCGCAGGCACACCTGAGGCTCCGCTGAGGGGGACTGACCTGCTGTGGCGAGCACGCTTCCTTTGCACGACTTTCGAGCTCTGAAATAAGTGTAGACTGAGCAGCCTTCCTGTTAGGTTTCTGCTAGAGGCCTTCGCCTGCAGGATGAGAAGGGGGTTTGAACGTCAAGCAAATAAATGGATTTTCCAGGCGTTGCCCCTTCGTTAACTTGGAAAATGTCTATTTGCCTTTCCTGATTCTTTGGTTTACAGTTTGTTCGGCTTCTTATTTGATGAGGGACAATCACTTCTTAATTATCGATTTTTCTCCTAAACCACAGAATTTAAGATTAGAAAACTCCAGGGGGCAATTAAAACCGCTTTACTAGATCCTTTAAAAAAAACGACACAACGAGGCTGTAGCATGACTTTTCAAACAGTTCAAATTCTTAGAAAAACTTCTCTCCACCTGAAACATGCTTTGCATCTCCCCCCTCCCCCCGCCCCTTTCAGGCCTCAGCTTTATTAACTGAGCCATCTCCCAGTACCCTTGAGAATGAAAAAAAAAAGATTTTTTTTATTTTATTTCAGTTTATTTACTTTACATCCCAAGGGTGGCCCTCCCTCCCTCCTCTCCTCCCAGTCTTCCCCTCCCCCTCCTTCTCCGTTCCCTTCTTTCTTTCCCCTCACAAAAGGGGACTCCCCCTGAATCAATCCTCCCCAGCACATCAAGTCACACCAGGACTGAGGATGTTCTAACCCCCCCCCCCCGCCCCCCGAGGCCAGGCAAGACAGCCCTGTCAGGGTAAAGTGATCCAAAAGCCGGCAATAGAGTCCATGTTAGAAACAGCGCCCCCACCACTCTCCAGGCGACACACTTGAAGACCAAGCCCTTGGCCGGCCACATATGGGAGGGGACCTAGGCACAGACCATGATGCTCCTTAGATGATGTCTCAGAATGGGGGCAGAGTTCCGGAGCTCCGTTGTCCTATGGAAGTGTTGGGGGAAAGATGGAACCTCACAAGAAGACAAGAAGACAAGCATGCTTAATATCTTATAAGGAAACAATGTGGCTTGAATCTTGCGTTACACAAGTAAGCACTCCTTAAAGCGTTGTTTTGTGAATTAAAATAAAAATCTGCTAAGAATTTATCTAATTCTTCAGTGAGTCTCCGTTAACAAATGAGTAATAAGAAAAGCGAAGAGCATTCGGATTTCAGCCAACTTCAGCTGAAAAGTACTCAGAATTGTGTTTACTTGCATAAGAAAAACATGTGGGCATAGCAATGCAGCATCATTCTGTGTGTAAACCTTTTCACCACGAACATCAGAAGGGAAAGCATTCTTAGCTGATACAAAACTCGGTGATGATCATTCATTTTTTGAGTCTGCTGTTACACCGCTGTAGTTATTTCTGTTGTCTGTGTATCCTTTGGATAGTAATCTCTAGAATGGTGTCAGCACGCTACACAGATCCACACCAGAAAAATAAAAATACAGAAGCTACTCTGCATCCCTGTTCCTCACTAACCACACTGAATGAGTGCTACTCACCCCTTAGCTGGTTGTCAGAAAACCCACGAAGGGAAGAGAGGACATTTCCCATAGCCTGATGAGATACTTTCCCAGTTTTTTTTTCCTTTTGAAGCTCCTGAAATGAAAAGGTTAAGATTGATGTAGTTCAGGCTACAGTAAATAGTCCACACAGATGGCCTTGGCTACACTCACAAATCTTAGAAAGGGATTAGTTGGGAGGGGAAAGGAAAGAGGGAGGGGACTGAGATGGGAGGTAAGAGAGGCTATGGGAAGAGAAGAATAAGAATGCATTACATACAGTTATGAAATTTCAAAGAAAATTTCAAGAAAAAGATTAGTAGTATTAGTTTTTTATGATGGAGAGTATATTAAGCTTGGCATAGTGGTATAGATCTGTATTCACAACAGTTGAGAGGCTGAGGCAGGAGGGTTGAATTCAAGGCCAGTCTGGGTTTTATTGTGAGACCCTATTTAAAAAAGGCAAGATTATTAAGTATCTTGAGGTATACTGTTGAGAAAAATCAGTATTTATTTATTACTGGATTTATTGTCAACCGAGGCATTTGCTTACCAATCTTTTTAACTTTCTTTTCAATGGCTTTAAGAAGATGGAAAATAAGAGTCCAATTTACAAAGCTAAAACAAAATGCAATGACGCTTATCTATTCCTTCTTTTGGTCACCATTTAAAAAAATACAATGTTCCCTCTAGTGTGCTGTAACTTTAAGAAGCTGCCTCCTCTTCCTCTTTAAGAGTTATTTATTTTCTATGTGTGTGAGTGTTTTGCCGCTGTGTTTGCCTGTGTACCACATGTTTGCCTGCTGCCTGGAGAGGCCAGAAGAGGTCCTTGGATCCCTGACAGTGTTACAGAAAGAAGGCTAAAAGCTGCTACGTAGACGTGGAGAATCCAAGCCATGTCCTCTGCAAGAAGAGCGAGTGCTTTTGACTACGGAGCCATCTCTCCTGCCCTGTTGCAGCATTCTTAAAACTTAAAGTTAATCTGCAGAAGTAAAAACTGAAAGTTTGGTCTTCAGCCTTACTACTTCTGACATGTCTGTGCTTAGGAAGCTAAGCAGGGTCAGTCTGGGTTAATACTTGGTAGGGAGAAGTTGAAAGTTTGGGAAATATTTTATTTCCTTGGTTTGGAAAACTGGGACAGTGGAGTCCAGTTTCCCTCACATTCTGCCAGGAATCCACATTGCAAAAGGAGAGAGTTGCCATAATCATGTGGGCAATGTTTGCTATTGTTTGTATATTTGAACGAAGAGATCTTTTTTCTAATTTTTGTTCTCTGTTCAACCTTGCAGTTTCTGTCTTGTCCCTACCTCTCCGAATTGAAAGTTCAGTTCTTTGGAGTTGTCGTTAGACCCTCCATGGAGGGTTGAATTAGTTCAAGAACTGATTGTTTGATTGTTCTGCTCTAGTAAATTGTTCGACCACTCTTTCAAGTAGATAACTTGAAGTGAGAAGCCATTTAAAACCAAAGGCTGTGGTAAGCTGCCACCCACATGCACTTCAACCAGCTGGTGGTTGAACAGGTTTGGATCTTCCTTGGATGAAAGGGACTGTGGGACAGAACAAATTCAGCCACCAGGACTGGTGTAAGGAAAGGAATGACTTCTGAGCAGAAAGATAAATCAGGTCAGGCCCCAACCTCTTTTAAAATGTATTTTATTATTTTTTAACTACGGGTTTGTGAGCATCTGTGTGAGGGTATGTGCATGTGCTAAAGCTTGAGGAGGTTACAGGCTTTAGATACTGCTGCAGCTGGAGGTGTAGGTGATTGTGAGCCACTGGACATGGGTGCTAAGAACCAAACTGTGGTTCACTGGAAGAGAAGCAAGAGCTCTTACCTGCTGAGTCATCTCTACAGCCTCTGGTCCTAAACCCGTTCATGAGTTCTGACTGCATTCCTGAGGTACTAACATTCACACCGTCAGAAATAACAGGAGGCCTGCACCAATTGTGTTTGGCTTTGTCTCTTTCATGACTCAAAACAGGGTCAAAGGCTTCTATCTTGTTCAACAATTCGGGAACTTTAGACACGTTTGTCTTCCAAGGGGATCAGTAGATTACAAACATGACAGTGGGTATGGAAAGAGGTCCACAGCTATGATTGTGGCCCTAAGGGTGGTCCTCCTTTTTAGTGGGTGTTTTGAGTGTGAGCTCCCCTAGTAACCTTCATTTTCTAATTGTGGACTTTATGCTGAGTCAATCGCCTGGACCTGTGACACATGTCAGAGCTGTGACTGACGCCCCACTGTCTTTGTGTGTCAACAAACTGTGCTACAGAAGCTGCTCACCACAGGTGATTGCTCCAGGCTGCCATCTGCTCCGCAGTTTCACTTCACAGAGTAAGGTCTTCCTCCTCTTTCCCTTTTCCCCTCCTTTTTTCCAGGTGGTTATGCCACACCTATATTGTGGTTTAGGCCAATGGCAAAGGAAAAAGATGATTTATCTTTGGTTATCTTTTTAAGAAGGTATGGAGAGAATGATACCACATTATTATTTCAGGGCTTTCTTCTAAGAGGAGGAAGGGCCTTTGAATTAAGTTTCAGTTTTTTCTCCCCCAAATCTCTGTCTTACAACACTTTAAAAGATACACAGCAATGCTGACTTACCTTCCGCTTCTAGGGAGTAACCAAGTTAAACAGGAAGAAGCTGCATGTTTTGGGAGACTCTTGGACAGCCCTGGACAACAACTCAAAAGAGGACGTCTCATGTTTGGTACTG